ATCTCTGCAGGGGACACCGGAGAAACAGGCCGATTCATCCAGCACTGGAACAAGGACTTACAAAACTCACTAGTGAATTCTGCGGAGGAAGCTAGATCTTTTCCTCCTGTCCATTGCGATTTTCCATCTGCTTTCCTGCTGCGTGTGTAATATACCTGCAGCAGTGTGTTGTGAAACATTGGCAGGCTAGAAACACATTATGTATCATTATGATTCATTATGTATCATTTGTATTCATTTCTATTCATTTGTAGGCATCTGAAATTGGTTTGCCTAATTTATATTTCAGGAAAAAACACAATATCCTGAACTCATGACAAACAAGCTGCTTTCTTGTTCTGTCTCCTTGCTTGGCGCCGCCTGAAACGCTTGCTGATGCGAAGTCTGTCTGCTTTGGTCATCTTTCGCCGCAACTCCACGGCCGAGCTGCAGGGAGCATGAGGGGCAGGGAATGTAATTGATTCATACTGATGAAAAAGAGGTCAAGCTGTGCAAAATAAAACATTGCTGTGAGGTTGGCTTGACCTAAAAAGATCATTATAGATCTATATAGATCTATATAGTTCAAACATCTTCAAACACGTACCTATTAAATCGTATTAACACATATCGACACTTGGTTTACCCTGCCAGCCCTGCCTCAAGTTGCTGCTTAAGTGCGTACACTTGTGCATGTCGTGATTGTAGAGCCCCATCCACGTAACCACAATGAACCTGTGCCCAACCATCTGATCCCAGAATACATATAGCTACAGAAAGGAATTCCATATGGATCCATGCTACATAAAGAGTTTCTGGCATTCCCAAATGGTTTTTGAAATTACACTCACTGAATCTTACTGATCCATACTGACCCCCCAAAACAACTGACAGTATAGCACGAAGGTTCAAAGCCCAGGGACAGATTGAGTGCAGCAGCAAGCTGCAACATGAACTCCTGCTTATACGCCCAGGACCCACTTGGTTGTTCAATGATCAGAAAAAGTGAAGGACGGGCGTCAAACAACAGCTGGATGCATACAGCCTTGTCTGCACGGCCAACCCCATCCCCCAAAAACATCCAAAAACAACAAAAAAAACATAACATCTAAGCCATCGATATCGCCTCATATGAAAAAGTTGAACTTCGTGGAACAATTCTTTTAAGAAAATCCATTGCAACTTGAAAAGGAACTGTGTTAAGCCATATCCTCTGACTCAATCTAACCTTGTAGTTTGACTGGTCCCCAGCGGGATTGGCCTTTGACCTTTTGTGGACACTCTGACAAGCAGGCCCCATCAATGAACAGGGCGGTTGTGCCACTACCAGGCCAGAGTCCACCATCCTAAGCTTTGCAGCAGGGTGGCTACAAAAAGTACTGGACAATCTCCATCATCCTACATAAAGAGTTTTGGGACCTGCTATTGAAAAATAAATCTTACTTTCAATTTTAAAAACTGGGAATCCTGGATCCCAAAGTCAGCAAGTGTTTGACCCCGGAAACGGAGCAGACATCGTGAGAATCTGAAAGTTTGATGTCGAAGCTTTCTGAGGCATAGCCACGATCAATCCATGTGGACTTGACTTTCTGGGATGCACCAAACAAGTCTAAGCAATGCAGTGTCTGCTCGACAGTGCGCATGGTCTCTTGCAAAAAGTCTGCCAAGTACTGTGTGTTCGCCTCTGCTGCGAACCACCTGAGGATGCTACGAGCTGAGCGCAGGAAAGCGTGTCCAAATCCATAAATGCATCCAAATGCATTCTATTCATCCAAATGTATCCAAATGTATCCAAATGTCTCCCAAAAGGGAATATGGTGAATTGTTTCCGAGCTACTCACCCTCATGTGTCAAGCAAGTTGTATCATCCTTCAAACTTGGCAAGGCCCCCAAGCTGCTCGCAAACAAAGCTGCCATGAAGCAACAACGAAGCATAGTAGAAGATACCATGGCCATGGCACTGCAACGACTGCAAGGCCACAAGAAAGGATATCACGACAGCCACCAAATCTCTAGACCCTGATCTCCAACTCCGAGCCATCAACATGGATTCAGCAGCAAAACGACCTTGCGCACTCCACTATTATGTTTCATGTCTATGGCTTTGTTTGGCAGGCATGATATCTTCCAGTACCTACAGAAACCATCAAAATATTGGGACACCATGGATGGATCCTACAAAAACATTTTTTTTACATTCCTGCAGAGCATCCGACGAATTCCACATTGCCAAGTCACTGCTTCCGGTATCGGATCATCCGCAGTCTTGTCAGGCACCATAGGTACCTAGGCTGCAACAACAGGAGGTTCAACTTACCAATTGATTATCATGTCACCTAAATACAATCTCACCAGGACGCATTGCATCTATTCTTGTTGAATAATTGTAAATGTATATTATATTATATTATATTTTATTATATTATATTGATTATTATATTATATTATATTTTCTTGTATTATATTGATTTGAACTTTCCATGTCTCACCTCCACAGACAAGACGCAGCTCCGGGATGAAGATCAGCACCATCTGTGGTCTTGTCAGACGTCTCAGGGACCTGAGTTCGCAGACTACAAAAATACTTCTGGGGTCAAAGGGTCTACAAAAACCAACCTGTGCAGGCCAAACTCACCAACAAGGCATTGGGGCCCATAGGGGATACAGAATCACCATGAAAACACATCGAGAAAAACCATGGAAAAACCAAACTTTTGGAGGCTGTTTTTTTCCATTCAATCTCTTTCATAAAAATTGCACTTCTGTGCATTTTTGGTGGGCCGGTCAGGACCTAGTGGTTTTGAGTACCCTGGAACGTCCCCAACACCAAGCATTCAGCTGCTTGCCCAAAAAAAGTCCTACTCCCTCAATCCCAGTTGGCAAGTCACAGCTTTGGACTTGCCCACATCATTTGCCTGCTCAGCCATCTCAGCAACCTGGGCCCCAACAGTCTGAGATATTTTAGCGACAGGGGTGTCGAGAACTTCACCTTCGATATACCCTCCAGCAACTGGTGACAACTTAATATTACCACCAATGACATACAATCACTACATATAACATCATATAACAACAAATAAAACCATATAGCACCCTTTTAAATATTTGTAAGTCTCATTATATATATATATAAATATATATCAAATTAATTCAAATTATATCAATATATTTGAATATTTGTTCCCTATTGTTCCCTGACTTCCCCTGACTTGTATATATTGAGTTGATCTGAAATGACTCTTCCATGTTTCAGCTCCACAGACAAGACGCAACACCACCATTGGTCTTGTCAGACGTCTCAGGGACCTGAGTTCGTAGACTACAAAAATACTTCTGGGGTCAAAGGGTCTACAAAAACCAACCTGTGCAGGCCAAACCCACCAACAAGGCATTGGGGCCCATAGGGGATACAGAATCACCATGAAAACATATCGAGAAAAACCATGGAAAAACCAAACTTTTGGAGGCTATTTTTTTCCATTCAATCTCTTTCATAAAAATTGCAGTTCTGTGCATTTTTGGTGGGCCGGTCAGGACCTAGTAGTTTTGAGTACCCCCGAACGTCCCCGACACCACACTTTTCCACAATTTTTTTTCCTTGATCAGCCAATGCCTTTCAGATGTCCCAAAATTGTCCCTCTTCATTCATTGGATCTCACTGCTCCTCTGGATCCATGTTGAGAGCCTCGGTGACACGCCTCAAGGCCTTCTCGAGAAAAACCAACTTTGCCTCAATCCTGCGCAAGTTGGTCTGGGTCTGGGCATCTTCACTGTCTTCGAAATCAAAGATCACCTCGAAATCATCACCTTCTCCAACATTTGCGGGCTTGGTGCTCTGGGACCGCCCTAGCTTGGTTCCTGTCAACGGGTCCCTGACTGGAACTTTTTGTCCATGATCCTCTGCGGACTTGACCATCAACTCGACAAAGTGCAAGAATTTCTTGTGACAAAGTTTTGGTGAGGAGGCGAGGTGCTGAGTACACCACAACACCCACATCTGGTCCATCTCCCAGATCTGGATATATTTTTTGGAGCGACGATCTGTGCTGCCAAAGCCAAGCTCACATTGCTTCAGCTGGTCTAAGGAGAGGTGGCGAAACTCCTTGGTGCCCTCGTCCGGCATCTCCTGAAATTCCTGAACTTTCTGCAAGCGCTGGGCAAGTTTTGACATGGTGGCAGCGACACAATGGTAATGTCTTGGGCAATGGCTTTCTGCCTTGTGCTTGGAACTTCTAAGCCAAAAGAGGCTCTGGGATATGCAGATCGCAAGACAATACTTGCCAAACAGGTGCCCCTTTCAATCCTAAAAAAACAAAATCCATGCATTTAAGCTACGAAAAGGTTTTTGGGCCTGGTACGTTTCCTATATTAATACCTCTCCCAAAGTTCTTCACATTATCATTTTTCAATACTTGTCAAGCCTAGCTATGATGGAAAAGTCTTTGGTATGCAACATTCCCAACCAATGGCACAGCCCCATCAGCCAAGACACCTGCTCGTGGGAAAAGAATTCTGTGGTGTCAGGCTCGAAGTTGTCCAGCAAATAACAAAGCTCGTCAAAAGAATCCTGGCTGTTTGCCAGAACATTGTTCCCGTCACATGTTTGTACGCCCTGGCTTCGTCTTAAAGCTGTGGAAAAAAATGCTTCATTTGTATGATACACGTGTGTCTTCTTTCGCTAGACAACATCGCCCAAACCATATGTCTACACATCTACCCTTGTTGTTGGTCCACCCTCAACCCCCCAGAGCAGCAAGGCCACAGCCTTAGGCTTCGACTCATCAGCTGCAGCTTTCTCGGCGGTCTTGTTGTCCTTCTTCTTCAAGGGTTCCTCGGAGTGTGTGCAGAGTGACCTCTACTGGGACATTTCTACACAAACAACATCGCAATGCCATGGCCCTACAAAAACAAAACTAATTCCTCAAAAAAATGTTGCTTATCCTTTTTTGCTACAAAGTGATCCTTTTTGCTTCATTTTTATTCATTTTTGAGATCCTTTGTTGTGGTCCAACCCTCAACCCCTAGAGCAGGAAAGATACAGCTGCAGGCTTCGACTCAGCAACTGCAGCTTTCTCGGCGGTCTTGTTGTCCTTCTTCAAGGTTTCCTCAGAGCGTGTGCAGAGTGATCTCTACTGGGAAATGTCTACACAAACAACATCGCCAATGCTATGGGCCTACAAAAACGGACTGATTATATAATTCAAAAATATTCAAAATAGTTTGTATTAACTGTTTGGGATCCTTGTTGATTCTTTTTGATCCTTGTTTTATCCTCTTTTTTTGGTCCCACCCTCAACCCCCTTGAGCAGCAAAGCCACAGCTGCAGGCTTCGACTCAGCAACTGCAGCTTTCTCGGCGGTCTTGTTGTCCTTCTTCTTCAAGGGTTCCTCAGAGCGTATGCAGAGTTATCTCTGCTGGGAAATGTCTACACAAACAACATCGCCAATGTTATGGGCCTACAAAAACAAAACTGATTCCTCCAAAATAGTTTTTTTTCAAACTGTTTGGGATCCTTGTTGATTCTTTTTGATCCTTGTTTTCTCCTCTGTTTTTGGTCCCACCCTCAACCCCCTTGAGCAGCAAAGCCACAGCTGCAGGCTTCGACTCAGCTGGTGCAGCTTTCTCGGCGGTCTTGTTGTCCTTCTTCTTCAAGGGTTCCTCAGAGCGTATGCAGAGTTATCTCTGCTGGGAAATGTCTACACAAACAACATCGCGATGCCATGGCCCTACAAAAACAAAACTGATTTCTCCCAAATAGTTTTTTTTTCAAACTGTTTGGGATCCTTGTTGATTCTTTTTGATCCTCGTTTTCTCCTCTGTTGTTGGTCCCACCCTCAACCCCCTAGAGCAGGAAAGACACAGCTGCAGGCTTCGAATCAGCAACTGCAGCTTTCTCGGCGGTCTTGTTGTCCTTCTTCAAAGTTTCCTCAGAGCGTGTGCAGAGTGACCTCTACTGGGAAATGTCTACACAAACAACATCGCCAATGCTATGGGCCTACAAAAACAAAACTGATTTCTCCAAAATAGTTTTTTTTTCAAACTGTTTGGGATCCTTGTTGATTCTTTTTGATCCTCGTTTTCTCCTCTGTTGTTGGTCCCACCCTCAACCCCCTAGAGCAGGAAAGACACAGCTGCAGGCTTCGACTCAGCAACTGCAGCTTTCTCGGCGGTCTTGTTGTCCTTCTTCAAAGTTTCCTCAGAGCGTGTGCAGAGTGACCTCTACTGGGAAATGTCTACACAAACAACATCGCCAATGCTATGGGCCTACAAAAAACAGACTGATTAATTCAAAATAGTTTTTATTAACTGTTTGGGATCCTTGTTGATTCTTTTTGATCCTTGTTTTCTCCTCTGTTTTTGGTCCCACCCTCAACCCCCTTGAGCAGCAAAGCCACAGCTGCAGGCTTCGACTCAGCAACTGCAGCTTTCTCGGCGGTCTTGTTGTCCTTCTTCTTCAAGGGTTCCTCAGAGCGTATGCAGAGTTATCTCTGCTGGGAAATGTCTACACAAACAACATCGCCAATGTTAGGGGCCTACAAAAACAAAACTGATTCCTCAAAAAAATATTGTTAATCCTTTTTGCTACAAAGTAATCCTTTTTGCTTCTTTTTTAAATCTTGTTTTCTCCTCTGTTTTTGGTCCCACCCTCAACCCCCTTGAGCAGCAAAGCCACAGCTGCAGGCTTCGACTCAGCTGGTGCAGCTTTCTCGGCGGTCTTGTTGTCCTTCTTCTTCAAGGGTTCCTCAGAGCGTGTGCAGAGTGACCTCTAATTAGAAATGTCTGCGCAAACAACATCGCCAATGCTATGGGCCCAAAAAACAAAACTTATTCATCAAAAAAAATAAATGATTGTTTTGATCAATTTTGATTTTTTTTTGATCCTTGTTTTCTCCTCTGTTTTTGGTCCCACCCTCAACCCCCCTTCAGCAGCAAAGCCACAGCTGCAGGCTTCGACTCAGCTGGTGCAGCTTTCTCGGCGGTCTTGTTGTCCTTCTTCAAGGTTTCCTTAGAGCGTGTGCAGTGTGATCTCTACTGGGAAATGTCTACACAAACAACATCGCCAATGTTATGGGCCTACAAAAACAAAACTGATTCCTCAAAAAAATATTGTTAATTGATCATTTTTTTTTGTCCTTGTTGGATCCTCTGTTGTGGTCCCACCCTCAACCCCCTAGAGCAGCAAAGACACACCCCCATCCTTGCTTTTCTTCTTTCCCTTCACGGATTCCTCCAAGCCCCGTGCAGAAAAACAATGAAGGGTGAGCGAATGCGGGTGGCTCAAGAGGTTGTTGGTAAATAAGATTCAAACAATAAAAATATATACAGCTAGTGGCCGCCCATTGTGTACCCTGGGTGCGAACATGTGGCAGCTGGAGCGGCTTCATCTTTGCGCTCAGCCAAAAATTGCTTTTCAGTCTTTTCCTCAGCTTGAACACTTGACGGTGTCAAAATTTGCCTTTCTGTAGTACTCGGCTAATGCCCAAAACAATTTGTAGAGTTACCCCACCAAGGTGGCCGCACGCAGCCAAACAATCCCCACATGTAGTTTTTTCATGTTTTTTCTTTCTGTAATGGCTCAACCTTGTGCGTGACAATTTGTAGAGGCCCTTACTGCTGCCAAAACTCGACTTTCTGAATTTTCCTGTGGGCACTGATAGCCAAGCAAGTGGTCCATACCTTCTCATCCCTTAGAAAGTGGGTGAGGGCAATCTACGTTGACTCCAATGCAGGGACATGCATGCGACAAAAGGTCAAGGCTTCCACCCTGTAGATTTCAAAGGTTTTGTTTGTGTGCACCAATAAGGCAAAGAATATATACAGATATATACAGGACATTGCAGGACAAGGCTCCAATCATAGAACACATGGTGCCACTTGCGGCCATCTTTGCCCATCTTCTGGCACTGGGTGACTTAGATGCCACACTGGAATGCAGCATGCAGAACCCAAGCATGCAGCATGCAATCCCTATATTGGAAAAACATATTCCTTTCAAAGCAACAAAACATCATACTGTACAAGTTTACAACCCACCACGGCTTTGAATTTCTGTAGCTCATTCCACCATCCCTTCTGATGCAACCAAAGTGCGCCAACAGTGCCGCTTGGAATCCCATTCCGGTACATCCACCGATTCATGGCAACGCTCAATCTGGCATTGTTTCGGCCACCCTGGTGGTGGGGGCATGATTTCTTCTACACCTTCTGCAAATGCAGTCTTTCAAGCAACCAAATGGCTACAGAAAGCGAGCTGGCGTTTCGCTGGTACAAAGTGGAAACCTACAAAAACAGAACCAACCTTGCTACAATTTGGTCAAGCCGGAGTCTGGTATCCCAAGATAAGCCTCTGAAAACATAGAGCTGAAAGCTCTACAAAAACAATTTCCCAACCTGGGCTAACTATCAAAAATGAACTGGATACAAAAAGCTATGGCAATACCCTCGGGGACTAGGCACATTTAGGTATACAGAACAAGCCTTGTACTGGGGATATGCCCTACCTTTTCGTAGTGGAAATTTCAAGGAGGATATATTAATGGGATATACCCTCTGGTAAACTAACATAACTATGGAAAATCACCATTTTTTATGGGAAAACTCACTATTTCTATGGCCATGTTCAATAGCTATGTAACAAATTACCAGAGGGTATATAATATACAGAAACAGCTAGTTGGAATGATAGTTATACTAAGTTATATGTTTATCTTTTTATGATCATCTAACTATCTTAAACTTAGAATGAGACTTATACAACGATAGTTGGAATGACACTTCCAAAGTCATGACTAAACAATTCTGCTATTTTCAACGGTCATTTCGTCCTAAGTCCCATGCCACTTCGGAAATCTACGAACTCAATGGAGTTTTGAACAGGAAAATTATAGGAAAAACATGGACAACTAGGGGAAAAAACACGGTAAATGGAAGATTCAATGGGAAAATCATCGGAAAATCAATAAAAATGGGCCACTTTCCATAGCTATGTTGAATTATGTTGAATTACCAGAGGGTATCTCACGATTTCCACTGGATTTTAGTTATCGTTCCAGGTTCCAACCCAGGAAGCCCAGACGTTAAGCATCCCATTGACCAACCATGGGGGCTGTTATAAACCATCCCATAATCGATGGGCGTAGCTAATGATAAAATATAATGAACCACAAAAAAGCAGATGATTCATGATTATTCATTATTAGGTGTACCACATTGAAAGTGATTGTAATATATATATATATATTGTCAATTGTAATACAGCTATTAGCCAGAAAAATGGGGGATGATTTTTGCCACACTTGTTTCCTCACGTGGCTATCCACGTCCACGTCCGATGAAAAAAGCGGCTCGCCAGGGCACAGCTTCTGATTCGACAGGTTCAAGGTCCCCGTCTCCGCGCAGCGCTGATAGGCGCGCCCGACTTTGGCGCCCGAGCCGTCCGCGTCGCTGTCAACGGCGCGGAAGAACTTCGCGTTGCGCGGACCCAGCCGCGACATGGCGGAGATGGTGGGGATGGATCCCACGGGATTTTTTCCGAGAAAAAGAGGTGGAAAACCAATGGTTTCCCCTTACAAATGCTGGGGGAACCCACATCTATCCAAAGGTTTACAGGGGAGAAACCATCAAACCGATCATGGTGGGGTATTAACGATATTTATCAATGAGAAATATGTTTCTATTGGAAAATAAACCATGGAACACCATGGAAAAGCATGGATGTGGCTGCCATCCAATTCTGCATTTTTTGCTTACACCAATGTTGGCATTGGTGAAATTATCCACTAGGTGCGCGAGCTCCTGGCTCAAGCCCCGGGCGGCTGCAAGCGTTCTGATCCCAATCCCGATAAATTAACACAATACGAGGTGTATACATATATATATATATATACATACACACATAATTATACATACATATTCAGAAGAGTTCAGAAGAGCAACTAATCATACAGTATGATGAAGATCATGATGATGATGATGATGAGGAGGAGGAGGACGAGGAGGACGAGGATGATGGTGATGGTGATGGCGAAAACAAATCACTTGAAATGGTCCCCCAACATAAACAGATCACAGTAGATCCAGTACATGCAACAGGACTTCTACTTTTTTTCGGGAGGGGAAGCGATGAATAACAAATTAAATCTATAATCCTATACCAGACCTCCCACTCCAAAACACCAGGGAGAATTTAGGAGCAGAATGACAAGTCGGCTTGTCCCCACTTTGATTCTTAGATTTTGACAAGTTGGTTCCACTTGATCTGAATGTGACGCACAACCAAGAATCCAAATCCAGGAATCCCCAGGTGGAGTTCATCCACTAGCCGCTCTGGCCATTGAAGTGGCCATGTGGTTTATGATGGTTTATGGCACCCAAGGGGGAATCCCAGTGGTTTATGAAAGTTAGTTCAAAGATCTTCAAAGATCCGTTCAAAGTCTCTGCCCTTTTTTGTTTCGGAGAAGCTGTGGATATTCAACTCGCAACTCCCAAAGTCCCTCGCAAGGAAGTTTGCAGGGTCCCAGCAATGCCATGGATGTTATACCAAAAATCTGAAGAGAAAGGCTAGAGCCAATTCAGTGCCTTCAAACATGTCCAAGATTTCTCCCAAGATCTCTGAGTACATGTGCCATCCTCATTGACCATCTCAATTCTTTGCCACCGAAGATGTTCCCAGAGGAAAAAGTCTCATTTTGAGAATGGAATCCAGAATCTTCTAGACAATCTTTGTACCTAGTGACCTGGTAAATAAGTGTCCAACGTGAATCCATTTTACGGGCGAAACTACCGTAGTTACCGTAGTTGTAGATGGATGATTCGTCATCAAGTTTGTGCGATAGATCCCATCTTTATATAAATCAGGGTTCCTTCAACCAAAATTCACAAAGAAATTCCAACTTTTCCATAAATCAATATATATATATATGGTTAAAGCCGCCATTCCAGATTTCTGTGGCAAACCCAATGGTAAACCTCCCATTTGTGGATATTAAAACCCATTGGCGAATTTGGTGGATGGTTTCTGATACTGTAGGTTTACCACATCAAACTGCTACAGTTTTTCTCCGAGGTTGTCATCAATGATTCGCAACGATTCACCATTTTTTTAGGTTTCCCCAAGTATCCATTCGTAGAAAGTCATCCCTTCCATCATTTGCAAAGCCCCAAACGAAACCCTGTTTTTTTTGGCGCAGTCTGCTTGGGGGAAAAGTCTCCGTGTCTCCTTGCTGCCAGCCTGTTTGGTTGTGATGGGCCTCGGCTGGGACAATATCCAGATGGGAAATGGTCGGCTAGACCTCGAAGATTCCATTAATTGGATATATCTGGGCTCGTAGCATTTACATCATGGAATAAATCATCATTTTACATCAATAAATCCCAGCTATTTAAGGGAGTATTCAAAATTCAAAATAACTACTGTAATTATACATCTTTGAGATCATGTACCATCCACTTTACCTCCAGGTTTTACCATCATGTTCATCCATGGAAATTCATGGGTGGATTCGATGCCAAAAGACGCCACGCAGTAGGTCTCACCCTCTGTGTAGGACATCGCCATATCAGTCTGGGCCACGAGAGACGACTGGAGAAACCCTGGATCTTTCTGAAAACCCCGTGCCGGTCATTGGATCGGGTAGAAAAATTGGCAGATGACTTGGTATATCTAAACTGGAAAACATTGTGTTTATATGTTTTTATGTGTTTATCTGTTTGTCATCTATAGCATAGCGGTTCCAACATGTTACAACCAACAAAAATGGTGATTTCATGGGATACAAAGTGGTGATGTAGTGATCATTGGAATCCATGGCCCATGCCGGTCTATGATTTTACCTGTTAAATTGGCCACTGATTGAGGAATACCCTCTGGTAAACATACAAAAAGCTATGGAAAATTGTCATTTATATATAATATAACCAGTAAATATGGTGATTTTCCTTAGCAAACTGGTGAAATTACCAGAGGGATCCAGAGGCTGGCCACACAAAAGGCATCAACATGATGGCCATGTCCGGCACCCCTCGCGGCGATGAACTTGATCCAAAAATGGGGAATCGCAGAAAAAGGCAATGGTGAAAATAAGGAACATGGTTGTTTCAACCATGAATTTCGTATAATTTCGTGCTTTTGTTCACCCTACCATCTGGTTGTTTAACAGATGGAAAATGGCACCATTTTCGGGGACTTTCCCATGATCTAAACAAAACTAATACACAATTACCCATATATGGGTCTTTCATAGGTTTTTAGCGGATTTCCCATGCATGTATGTATGTATCTGTATGTATCTGTATGTATCTGTATGTATCTGTATGTATCTGTATGTATCTGTATGTATCTGTATGTATCTGTATGTATCTGTATGTATCTGTATGTATCTCTATGTATCTCTATGTATCTCTATGTATCTATGTATCTCTATGTATCTCTATGTATCTCTATGTATCTCTATGTATCTCTATGTATCTCTATGTATCTCTATGTATCTCTATGTATCTCTATGTATCTCTATGTATCTCTATGTATCTCTATGTATCTCTATGTATCTCTATGTATCTCTATGTATCTCTATGTATCTCTATGTATCTCTATGTATCTCTATGTATCTATGTATGTATGTATGTATGTATCTATGTATGTATCTATGTATGTTTGTATCTATGTATGTTTGTATGTATGTATGTTTGTATGTTTGTATGTTTGTATGTTTGTATGTATGTATGTATGTATGTTTATGTTTATGTTTATATTTATATTTATATTTATATTTATATATAGTTAATACCACCAGGCCATTCAAACTAACCCCAGCCCTTGAAACTCTCAGATCTCGCCGCGTCGCCAAGAGCCGCGTGTTCTGCACGAAGGTCACTCGTCCGGCATCCATCAGACGCTGCCCTGGAACATCCTGCGGGGCACCAGCTGCAAGACCAGCTCAACAGGGGTTGGTAAATGGTACCCTCTGTTAGTAAACATACAAAAAACTATGGAAAATCACCGTGTTTAATGGGAAAATCCACTATAAATGGTGATTTTCCATAGCTATGTTAAATTACCAGAGGGTATACCATCCAAATCTATCCAATATGGCTATGGGTCAATACCTATAGATACATTTTTAGGGGGATGAACATCCATTTACCAGCTATTTTGATGTTCACCAGGGGGATAGGGTTTTGACCCATCCCCATATTTCAGCTGTAATTTTGGGGATAAATATTGGGGATATTGATATTGGTATAATTATATGTTATTTTGGGGATATAATATCGCAATATTTGGGCAAATGTCCTATTTTTCATTGAATAATACAGGATTTTGATGGATTCTAAACATCACTTTCAATATCCCCAATATTTATCCCCAAAATTGGACATGATATCCCCAAAATTGGGGATATATCTGTTGGAAATGATATCCCCAATATTTGGGTGACGTTCAATCATATAGGACATTTACAAACCCCAGCTCAAGGTCCGGAAAAGCAAAATGTTGGTTATGTCAACCCTGGATGAGTAAACCCCGCAGTTGAAGGTTAGGGCCTAAGGGGGTGTCCCAATGAATTATCCCATTCTCACTATTTGGAGGGGACCCTGATAATTAACAAACCATGGTTTATTAAGCCGGGGTTGACATTACCAGTAACGAAGCAACCTGACACCAAACTCGAAGGTAATTGGAAGGGCAGAAGTCTCAACAAGCTGCCGCAATTGTCGCCATTTGGGGATGCGTACATGTCAACACCAAATCTGTACTGGGGATGAACATCCATTTCGAACCATAAAAGCAGCGATGAAAGGCTGATGATTGTGATGCCATGTTTGGATCAACATCATCCATGATCCGAGAAGTTTCCAGCCATTTTGGTGTTCATCCAATCTGTGCATTCCAAAAAAAAAAGTAAGCACCAGCAGCATGGGCCATGGCGACCGAGAAGAGCGTACCGTGGCATCGAGGTCTGTGTAGGTCCTGCCACAGGAGAGCAACAAAATCAGACAGCAACATGTGGCTTTGAAACAGCAAAGATTGGAAGTTTCATGAATTTCAAATGTACCTTTACAGAAAACAATGATTGATCCAATACAGAAAATGTACCTTTCAGATGTACCTTTCTCAGAAATGTACCTTTTTTTTAATAAATCATTACAGAAAATGGGGGGGTCCTAAAATAGGGGTACCCCCAAATCATCCTTTTTTAGTAGGATTTTCCATTATAAACCATCCATTTTGGGGTACCCCCATTTATGGAAATCCCCAAATGGGATTTCAACAGCAATGATTGGGATTTGCTGCTGATGAATTCGTTGGGAGATGTCAGGCTTCATCCCGGGCACATCGACTCACCGTTTTTACACATGCACAGGAGCGCTGAACTCAGATCAACGCTTCTTTTGGGGTCATGGTACTTGCTAATAAGCAAACATGGCAATATAAAATCCACCATTTTGATTCATACATATATATAAATATATATACATATATATACTGTATATACATTTGATATTAATATTAATATAATATAGAATATATATATGATATAGATGCAGACTTAGGTTTCGCCTTTACCGAACTCGCTGCTTTTTGTTGGACCCTGCAGATCCATCATCCGAACGTCGTTCCCACTGCCCTTCCTTTCCATTATGTAATGTATGTGTATATATATATATATTGTATACATATATATATATTATATATTATATATATTATATATTATATATATATTATATATATATATTATATATATATATATGGGTTTGTCTGAAAATAGGCTATATTCCCAATGAAATAGCCATTTAATAATATTTAATAGGGATAATGATCATGAAAACCATTGGGTAAAAAGGGGTTGTCTCGATTTTCAGACACACCCATATATAAACATAGAGATGTCCCAACCAGCCATGCATGTCTCACCTGAGGCCGTCGAGGGAATAGGAAGGCCAGCCATAGTAGCAGTAGTTCAGCCTCACAGATGACTGGGGGTCGAAAATTCATGTTGATTCCCAAGGTTCCCGCGTGATGGAGCTTCCCATCCATCCAAAGATGGTGTCTTAGGCTTCGGATCAAAGACCAAACAGCCCCAAGTTAGGGAAATTCCCAGTGGCCCATGCACCTCTTCAGTGATCTTTTTATGGATTAGTGAAGCCATTGGAATGTCCCAGTGATGACAGCTTGTGGCAGTGATGAACCATTACCTAACAAAATGGATTTTGAGGGAAAATCGACAGGAAACCAGTGTTTTTACCATGAAACATATACAGTTCGACCCTGACAATCACCCCTTTTTGGAGACGAGTTTCTTCCAAGCCCTATCTGATAGGGTCGTCATGTTACCAGAGGGCACCTGTTCCTATCCTCCAATCCTATGACTTCAGGGATCCAGTGACTAAAAAGGGTTGACTACTCGGATGGTGACGTCCTCACAATTTGATGACAAACCATGACCAATCTTAAATACACTGCAACAAATAATGTTAGGATAGTATATGTTAATATATATATATAAGCCAGTGTTATAGGGAAAATGATCACAATCCACTGAACATGTTGTATTTAAGTAATGTTTGTAAATGTCCTGAAAAATCTTGGCCTTGTCTTTGGAGACCTCATGCAAAAGCAGCTTGGCCCATATTTCTTCGCAAAGCTGGTAAATTAGATGTTAGATATTTTATATTACTAACAGACAATACAGTATTCACAGTATATACTTTATGATATTTAAGTTTAGACATGATTTTATATATGATATTTTAATTCAAATCTTTTAGACATACCAAAACTGACAATCAAAATATCATATATAAAATTACAGTATAAAATAATGCTATTGTTTCATCTATTTTCAGTCTTAAGATGGATAAGGTAGGGTTGTTCTGATTTCTGGTAAGGTTTGTTTTATATTGTATTAATATACTGTAGCTGGTTAGCAGATCTCCCCATTCGTGGCAAGAGATAAGGCTGACCGGTTCGTCGCGGTGACAAAGCCATCAGTTGAAGGTCCCCGTAGACTACTGCTTCATAGGATTTCCCAGAATGGATCGTGTTTTTATCCCAAAAAAAAATATTGGATACACTAACTATAATGTTTATTATATGGGATACACTAACTATATGGAATATATTGTTGGATACCCATATAAGATTATAAGATCATATAAGATCATATAATAAACAGCCGAGGTTTAGCAGCCACTGCTCACTGAGATTTTTCCCGAATTTCCCAGAGATGTTTCGGAATCCCTGATGACGAACCGACTGCCGGCTCGAACCCTCCGAAGAGCATGCCGGCCACGGCGGCGACGAAGAACCTTCAGCGGGCAGCTGTCCCTTCTGAAGTTTTGTGGAAGAGTCCGGTGTCAACGGCATTTTACCCCGTGGTAATTTAATATAGCATAGCGATGGTGGAATATGGCCTAAACTTACCAGGTATGTAAATCGTCTACACATCGGTGATTTTCCATGACTATGTTAAAATTTCCGATGGTAATCAGTACTCACGATCAAAGTTTCCAAATCCCTCCCCATCCAGCTGTTTTCCCGAAATGTTCATCACTCAAAACTTGATGTATTTAAAACAGTGTAAAAAATAAGAAGAAAACAACGAAAAATATCCAAATCGTTACATAGGCCTTGATTCTCAAGTTTCCCAATCATTACTTCGATCCATAACCGACATACAGGTCCAATGAAATAGGCCTGAGTCAGAGTCCCTTCCCCCAAAAATGTTATTCAGATTCATAGCCCCCAAAACAGAACCCTGGTGGAAAATTGGGAGGGTAACTTGCGGTGGATCGGATTGCTACTCATATCCATATTAAATATTGAAATTATTAAAATACATTAAAATACAATAAAATGAATAGCCCTCTTCTTGATTTGGTTCTAATGTGTTACTGAACTATATGACTATAGATCCCCTAACACTCAGGAGATGGGATTGAGATGGGATTAGCTGTAACGAGCCTGAAGCCCTGAACCTTGACTCCATCTTTCCCGCTCGCGTCGGTGTCTCACTGAGTGACCTTTGGTCAATCGGTGGCCGGCGGTGAAACGTCGGGGACGGCCGCACGGCATGACGCGTCGCCGGTGAATGAAACTTGTCATGGTTTTTGTAGAGCAAAGATCGTGTGAAGCTATTTTGGTTGGTGGTATACCTACCCCTCTGAAAAATATGAAAGTCAGTTGGGATGATTATTCCCAATGTATGGAAAAATAAAAAATGTTCCAAACCACCAACCAGCTATTAGTTAGCCAAACAATAGATGGTTCATGATGTTTCCATGGCAGAACTGAACTGTTATTGGTAGCGAAACATTCATACGTAGTAGCTAAACATGGCAATCAGAGACATCTACGTAGTTTTGACGTTTATAGCCCCCAAAAGCATTTCCAGTACTTCTCCTGCATTGTAAGGAGATGAACTTGTCCAAAAACAGGGGATAAGCCTGATTTATGGCCATTCCAAATCAAGGATATTGGAGTATCCCTACATCCAAGCTACTTTCCGGCACGTCCTGCGAAGTTAAGCTTCATCCAAAAAACAGGAATTCAAACCTGGAATTGCCCTTGTTTTTCAATTCTGTCAGCTTGGCAAAACAAACTTTCACGGCGACGCTTCGCTGATCGGCCACGTGCGTGACATGCGAGTCGATGCGAGTGGAAAAGCCGTGGTGGTTCCCATACCTTCAAAAAATGAACAGTTGCTGTCAACAAAAAACAGCGAACAATATGTATAATATTATATATATAATGATGTATAATATATAATATACATGATTATACATGTAACATTAATATAAGAAAATAATCCATGATTCTGTAGATTTCTACCCTGCTCTGGAACTCGAACCCACGCCCACCTCAAATGACAGTGAAACAGAAACTCGCCTACTCAGTACAAACCTGACAGCTTTCAGATTCAGCAGTCTGGGTTTTTCAGTGCCTTGCCTTTTCTTTTGGGTGATTTTAGTTCAATGAATGGAGTTTGTTTCTAGGTTATTCTTGTTTCCATGATTCTAGGACCGGGGGAGCCTTGAATCCATTCTTGTGATTTTCTCAGGATTCTAATGATTCTAAGTGTCAAACGGAAACGGTTAAACTTCATGTGAAACGGAATCATTTTGAGCCATACCCCCGAATTAAACAACAGTGACAAACCATCCATATTTCTGGTGATGAATTGATCTACAAATCACGGTGCTCTGCCATAGTCCACGCAGCACAGGTTGTCAACGTACGCCCAAGTGGTTTTTGGATTCTTGGGCCCTTGAAGATTCAGGGAAAATGGTGACCATGGAATGGCTAGCCTCTTTTAGGATTTTAGGACAAATTGGAATCTCCAAGAAATCCAAATCGTGATCGACCTCCAATACGCTTTGAATAGTAGTGTTTTTTTGGGTTACTGTAAGACATTCCTCCACAATGCTTTAATACATATTCTGGTAATCAATCACCAAACCAGGCCTGTGAAAAATGATGAACAGTTCATCAATCTTGATAGATCCCATTCATCCCCATTCAACAGGCCATGAACCGAGTGAAAGCGCCAGAAAATGACAACCTTGAAGTATTTCGGAGACAGTTGATAACGTCGCTTCCCACCCATAAACCCCCCCACATGGAAGGAAAAACAATCTAGTTCCTGGCTTCCACACCTACCACCCAAAAAAAGGGAAAATCAATGAAAAAGTGGTACCGCAAATGAAAATCCTTGAAATTCCTTGAGTCCCAAAGGGAAACATGGAGAGATCTTTGAACCAACCTCCATTCCTACTACCCGCGCCTCAATCAAAGCTCAGAGAGCCGGACCTGTTCACCATTTGTTTCAAGGTGGTGTCCTGTGTCCCCCACCAGTCCTGTTTGTTGGTGTATAACCCCCCATGAATGCTAAAGCTAAACATGTATATATATATATATATTAAAAAAATAATAATAATATAATATAATATAACATAACATAATATAATATAATGTATATATATACACATATAACTTATATATATAATTATATGTGTTAGATATATATTATATGTCATAAACATCCATAAAACCTCGTAAAATTGGAGTTACAGCCAACTTAGCTAACGAATTGGGGCACCACCTTGTATATGACGCCGTCGAGGCCAAAATGATTTGTTGAACGAGGCATAAATTGTGGCTGGGCACCAAAACTTGGGACACAATAGATAACGGTTAGACAATGTCATGTTAACCACTGCTATGTTCATACGTCTTAACCATGCGAATCTTGAACGGGGTTCCGAGCGGATCAGTGGGACAATAAAAGGATATATATATATATAATATAATATATATATATAATATATATATATAATATATATAATATATATACTATATATATAATATATATATATATAATATATATATATAATATAATATATATATATATATATATTACTTACCTTTACGGCATTTGGGGACCAACCCAAATCAAAACAATGCATCAATGTGGTTTCTCGTGTGGAAGTTGGCTAAGAAATACAACAGACTCGCACCAGGAATTCGATTGGCAATGACCGCAGGGGCTTTCCTGTAATTAGGAGTTGCATGGTGTTACTAAAAACACGAGACCACAGCAAAAGATCGATCAACGGATGTAAGCTGAGGTCGGAGAAATCTGGCGATTGGCAGTCCTAATTTAGTCCTACGAGTAATTGTCAAATGGTTTGGACAGAAGTTCCACTTCATTCCAGTCTGAATACACTTTTTGTTTGTCCAAACATGCGGAATAAATAGCCGAGAACATCCGAACTGAGTAGTTATTGTCATTGTCGGAAACCTCCCCTGGTTTGCTAGGCGTGACAGTCCCCCATTCTCATCATCAGATTCATAAGTGCAAAGAAAAACATGCAGAAATGGCTATATGGTCAAGTCAAGTCATTGGATATCCAACAATTAGATTGTTCAAACTAGACATTACCCTCTGGTAAATTAATATAGACCCTGCCAGATGGGGGTTGGAAGATTACTTTTCCACCAAAAATTGGTGATTGTCAGTGACAAATTGTCAGGGTCCAACTATTAGTTCACCACCGGACAAATCTGGTTACCAAATGATCTATTCACCTATGTTCATACTAAACATTCATCATGAATCATTAACATATATGAATACTATATTCATCTATTCTATTGAGTTAAGGGACCATACTAAACATATCTAAACATTCATCCTCAACCCCCTCCAATCTCTGGTCCCTTGGTCCCTTACCTCAACCCCTGGAGACTCTTCCCTTAACCCGCCTGGGTGGTGCGTTGACGGAACGGATGTTGAACTTGGCTTTCCAGAAGGGCGAATCGCTGGAGATCTTCTCCTGCGAACATCATCGTCACTGGGAGATTTATAGCTTGGGCCGCCATCTATAAATGGAGCTTTCTTGTGAGTTGGAAAATTTTATGGGAAGATTTAGCTGAAAATACACCACCCGGACGGTGTTTGTTGTGGTTTTTGAGAGGAAAACACGTCTGACAGGGCGATTGAGGAAACCTGGCCATTTTTTTTTTCCACCTTGAACACCTCGCATGGGGATGTGTCAAAACCTCACCATAGTTGGGGAGACAAACATCCAGCTATGCCAGCCATTTTGTTTAGCAGCAAGGTAGCAGAGTTTTTTGGCCCATCCAAATCTATATTATATAATATTATATACCTCCCCAAGGATAGAAACTGAAATCCAATCCTAAAATGTGGAGAAAAAAGGTCAATTCCTACTGTTTCCGTTTCCCTTTGCGGTCGATGGACCTCTCAGCTGCAGTTTCGGAGATAGAGACCATGATATACTGATAGATTAATGTATTATTAGTAAAATAATCAGCAATCACTAGGACTATCATATGCATAATTGGCAATCATTACTATCAACAAACATTAATATAAGATAGTATAAGTACAATCATTGGTAATATGTTATCATGTGGTACAATGATTCTTCCGGTTCATCAACGTACACCATATTTGGTAACAGAAGTAATACTATATAACTGACTACATATTACATGTGTACTCATTAGTCATCTACCCGCAGTTTTTTGCTCCCATTAAGATTGCACCATGTTTTTTTCCAGCCGTTTTCATCTGTTTTGATAACTATGGGGGCCGATCTTGGTCTGTCCTTCGTTTGCTTTTCCATCGTCTTCCGCAGATCTTCCAAGTCATTCTCCTCGGATACCGAGCTGGGAACGCTGGGGATCACAATGCATCGCGGATTCCCTCGTCAGAATATATCTGGTTGGTGGTTGAGCCTACCCCTCTGAAAAATATGAGTTCGTCAGTTGGGATGATGACATTCCCAATATTATGGAAATTTATAAAATTCATGTTCCAAACCACCAACCAGTCATAATTCCATGACAAGAAGTAAGTTGAAGACTGCTTTAAAGTACACATTGACAAACATTGACATGGACCATGGATAATCATAGATTCTCCCCCATTTCCCTTTCAGCACCATCGCCAGCGCATCGTTCGCATCGCACCTTCTTGATGGTGGCTTTGATGGAGTCACATCTTTCGTAAATTTCTTTGATCTGCTGTTCATACATGTCCTACGTGGCTTTTTCTGTCGCACTTGGGTATCTTGGGTCACTTGGGGTTTCGGAAGGACCACTGTGTTCAAAGGGTGACGACCGGAAGGTCGATAAAGTTAAGTCTTAAAGGAAAGACGTATAAGATGATCCGATATGAAAATGGCTGATGATGGTGAATGATATCCTATGATACGAGTAGGGCATGGCATGATAGGGCTATGCGACCAGAAAGCAGCCCTAGGAAGCTACAGTTGATGTTGTTAAATGTTGTTAATGCTGATGGGGAGTTGAATGGCCGTGCTATGGCAGGATGGGTCAGTGAGGTTACGATGTTTACAATTAATCCGGTAATTTTACGGGAACAAAACGTCCTTGATATGTTCAAAAAATTGCCGCACTAGTTTGCTGTGTTGTGCCAAGCGTCTTTGACTGACCTGATAATGTCAGATTTGCATGCACGTCTATGCACTTAGATATATAAACTCTGAAAATAGGGATCAACAGAACAAAATACAACTGAATCATAATACTAAATCATCATTTATATTTCTATCATGTTCTATCTACCTCAAAGAACATGTCACAAAATAAGTTTCCCATAGTTTCCCAATCACGTGGCCAAACACGTGGCCATCGAAGTCGTCAGCACATTCTGTGCTACCCCAAAAGCTTGACCCAGCAGTATGTCGATATCGACCATGGAATCATAAGTGTAATATAGTGTAATCATCATACCCAACATGTTTAGTGTGGCTAAAACCATGGTCTTTCCATGATCTTTCCATAAGCAGTAGATATATGATGTACATTGATGTACAGTAAGCTACATGTTTCAAGGTGTTTTTGAGGGGGGCCTTGAAAATGTAAGCTTACATTTTGAAGGTATGTTGACGACCCTCCCCACAAAAACGATACCTGGGGGACGTTCAGTGACCAAATTTACATTTAAGGGGGGGGTCCCAAAAAATGTATCTTACATTTTGGTATGGTCCGCCCTGAAAAGTAGCCTTAAAGGGGTGGTGATGATATATGAATGACATGACTACATGACCATGTACTCACGATACCCATAGTGAGACATTTCGTGTGGTTTTTCGTGTGGTTCTTTTACATAACCATTCAGATATGGATGTAGAAAAAAAGATGTAAACAAGCAGGCGCAACCAGCCGCGGAAGAAAGTCCTTCTGCTGTTGAAGTTCCAGCAGCTGTTTCATGCACGAGTCCACCTGCCAGAGAACCAACAGAACCACGTGAGAAGTTAAGTTGGGGAGAGCTGCTGAAGCCACATCTATACATAATATATCATAATATAATATATCATATAATCATCTCTAGTATAAGAAAATTCAGCTTCTAAATGTTTCTAACATCTTCACACCTTAAGGATGTCCACGATGTTGTTTGGTCAAGGTACGCATCCCAAAACCATGGGAACGCTCCTTTCGGCCCATGGCACTGCTCTTGTTTCTTATCTTTTCTGATTGACCCATAAATTTAGCATTAAAAGAACAAACAGCCCAGTAACATCCAGTAACTACATCTAACTAATATACAAAGAAATGGCTTTGTCTAAGAACAAAAGAGCCCCAAAATTGATGACTCATCATCATTTTCCCTACTCACAGGGCCATGATTTGATGAGTATTGATGATAAATATATGATAAATATATGATAAATCATGGTAAATAGTCCATTTTCAGACCCAAAAAACATCATGGTAGCCTGGTTCCGCCATATTCGGTCCAGGTTCCCGCCAAACTTTGGTTCCAAGTTCCAGTTGTGGGTTTTGGGCCATGGCGCCATGGCCGGGTGGCACCTCCTTCTTCATGAGATCTTGCGTCTTCCTTGGTCAGAATCATTTTTCAGATGATCCACCATCATTTATCATGACGGATCCATGGTGCTATATATGCGATCCCATAAAGGGAGTATATTGATGGTAAATATTACCATATATAGCAGCACCATGGATCCGTTATGGGATTTATCACTTCCACTATGTTCCACTCATCTTTAAAATCCCCATCATATCGATGCTGAACACCCGATCCAGATGGGGGGTTCACCCATCAACGGGAGAATTCTCCATCCAATAGCTGGAGAGTTTATTTCATGGAAAAAAACAAACAAAAATTAGGGGTAACCTCCAGAAATATATGGATCCCAAAGTTTTTTTTTAGGATGATTTTTTTGGGGGGTAACCTCCAGATCCAGGCTTCTGAGGACACTTATTCTCTGGCAACGTCGCCAAGCGATGCTCTGCCGTCAGCAGGCCCTTGTAGGTATTCCGCCACCTCACCGGCAAAAATGGGGAGATTCATCATGGAAAAGACAGTCGTAGCCTCCAGTAAATTAACAGTTCGACCCTGCCATTTTTCGGGGTTGGAAAAATGGTTTCCATGAAAAATTGGCTATTTTCAGGGTCCAACTGTTAATTTACCAGTAAGTATGACATATCCATTTGGATAAAACGTGCAACAAAAGTTGCACGCTGTGAATCCACCGTTTCTGCTTGGAAAATGATGAGGTTGCAGGAATGGCAATTGATGGGATTTTGTCATGAATTGAGTGGCCTTTTTGGGGTAAAAATATGGTGGAAGATGAATGGCAAATTTCTCAGTCTCAGAAAGAAAGTATGGAAAACTTGCCGTCTGGTCTGAACTGCCAAACCCTGGCAGAACTTGAAGCAATTGTGAGGATGTACCTGTAGAAAGGGTTGTTCATTGTCATGTTGGGTTGCCACGGGATAAGCAGAACACCCCGTGGCATATTGAAGAATGGGCCGCATATTAACCAACACAACCTACAGCTGATCAAAAATTCCGATCCAGTTGAAATCGAGTCCACAACGTTGGGTTTCTTTTGAATTCTGTTACTCCAACTTTGGATCATAACTGGTTGGTGGTATACCTACCCCTCTGAAAAATATGAAAGTCAGATGGGGTTGTGACATTCCCAATCATCCCAATATATGGAAAATCATAAAAGTCATGTTCCAAACCACCAACCAAATTCATAATTCCGGACTCCTCCCATCTCCGAAACTTTGGCTCCAACAGCTTCAACAGCCGAGCCCGGGACGTATAGTCGATGATCTGCTGGTCATAGTGCAACCGTATGAGCTTCTGAGACATCTGGGCACACTCCTGCGGGCCGTGCCACCCAAAGGGCACCGAAAGAGTCACCAAGATGAAGCTATCACGTTTCGCGATGGGATGGATGGGTGTGTTTTTTAGGGGATCACTGTCACTGGTAGGGATATATGATATAATATAAATACATATAATACATCCTTATTCATCTTATAATGTATATGTATAGTTGTAATGTATACATTATAAGATGAATAAGGATGAATAAGGGCCTTTGAATGCCTTTGACTATGATTCCCCGCAATGCAACGTGGTTAAAATGGCCGGAATCTTCGAGGATTTTCCCAGCCCTCAAGCCATTGGCATCCAACGTTTGCGTATTACCGAAGGGCATAATACGGTATACCCTCCGGTAATTCAACAGTTTGCTATTGAAAATGGCCATAGAAATAGTTGATTTTCCCATTAAAAATGGTGATTTTCCATAGCTATTTAGTTTATATGCTAACATTTGGGGTACTGTATATTGATGGTAAATGTTACCATATATAGCAGCACCATGGATCCTATGGGTAATGATATCACACAATACTTCATCTAACCTCTGTCGAAGCGATTTCTCGCGCTTCGAATCCAAGAACTCTGAGAGAAAACCTGGAAAAAAAACCATAGTTTAATGGGATATTGTGATTTAATGGGATTTTATAGTGATTTAATGGGATTTTATAGTGATTTAATGGGATTTAATGGGATATTATAGTGATTTAATGGGATATTAATGGAATATACCCTCTGGTAACTAACAGTTTGCTATTGAAAATGGCCATAGCCCATTTCGTTCGTTGATTTACCGTTGTTCAAGACAGATCTTCCCTGGCCACCGCGCACCTTGATGTAGCGAGGATCGTCGATGTCAATCATACCTGGGAAAGTGGTGGGCGACCCGTGTAGACAAACCAGGCAAACAAGTTTTTATGGGATTATCTCAGATATCTTGGGCTTTGGGGATGTTTCCCGGAATCCTAACCATCATTCCACGTAACGAGGTGAGGTCATTATATATGAATTCTATTATAATTCATCCAAAGGCGAATGAAATTACACAAAAAACATGCCTCATGAGCAGTAAAACCATCCAAAAAAATGCCAAACTTTTAGGGAACACCAATGAAAATCATCAAATATCATAAAAATTGTGTTTGGCGGGCCAAACGGATCTGTTTTTAGAACACTGCTTTTCTTCCATCACCATTTTTTTTCGGAAAACGCTCGAACCACAGACTTCCACCAGCACTTTCCAACGAAAATTGGGGTTTCGGCCCATTAAGGCCATCCCCAGCCCAACCAACCACCGCAGATGGCTGAGGCGCTATAGCCATACTTCTCTTTCCCAAACATCTTGGGCAAAGGCCAGTTGATTTGACTATAATCCTGCGAAAAGCAGAAAAATCAGAAAAGGCGGTCCTGTTTACATGGATTAGATGGGCTGCAAATGGCTGCAACTAGCTATACCGTATGCCTTGATGCTTTCTGAATATGGGTGTGCCTAAAAAAAAGGTGGATCTACCTCAAAAAAGTCGGATGATAATGATAAATCATCAAATTTCGGGGTAAGCTGTGTTGAGACAGACCATGACAGGCCCAGTCTTGCAGGGTCTAACTGGTCTTTTTTCACCTCCAGTGCTAGCTCTTTTCGACCGAATCCAATCTGTATACATCAATGAACTTCTCAATCGAAATCAGAGTCATCCAATGTCTGGACTACCCAACTGGCTCCAACAGGTTTGAGAGCAATGGCCAGTTGACAGTTTTTCCAAATCTGGTTGGTGGTTTCAACATGTTTCAACCCCTGAAACTATACGAGTCATTGGGATATCATCTCAAATATTGTTGAACAGAAGAAATGGTGGAAAGCGCCAAGCAGAACTTGGAAGGCTCTTTAGTGTTCTAATTTCATCCCTTTCCACCAACATTCATCAGTTTGACCGAGATATTTCTCCACTGTTTTCCTGCTTCAATCCCGATATCCCTGCATACTTCTGGATAAATGATGATAATTCACAACCTTATCCTAGTTCGGCTAATATTATAATGGGAAACATATAAATCTTGTATTTTCCCTTTAAAACACAATAAATCCTATTAAAACATAATAATTCCCATAGTGGGAATCATATAAATCTTATAAGATAGCTATACCCACTAACCATCAGAGTTGATCTGGCTATAAGTTATGGCTGCAAATGTGTCCTCGGCCAGCCAGCCGTGCAGATTGCCCGTGCTGGGCGGCAGTTTCCTGGCGCCCCATTGGATGGCTCATTGGTGATTCAATTAATGGAAATTAGATAGCTAAGTGGACGCACATAATGACATAGCTTGGTGAACTGCTGGGTTTATTGAGGAAATATATATATATATATTATATTATATATCTTATATATATATCATATATTATATATAGAGTATTATATATTATAGACTATAATTAAGTATTAACTGACTATATAGTCAACGGGCTTTATGAAGAGAACAAACATCACTGGGCCGCTTGGAATGATCACGAATCGTTTCATCACCTCTGAGACGAAGCCGAAGGTGGCCCATCTAGTTTGACAGTTTACCTTGAAATGGGTTCTAGTATGTTTTTTATGAAAGATTTAGTTAATATGTTAAAGCCCATTTCAAGATTGAAACGTTGAAATCTGTTTTAAAAAAATAAAAGCACCATTTCAACAAAAAGGGATGAATTTGACGTTGAAATGCAGCTACCCTGCTGGAATGCAATGGCATTATAGTCATTGGCCAAATTGGGGAGTGTGGATCATCATCCCAAATATGGTTCAAAGATGTTCAAAACAAAAGAATATATGAAACATTCACCAGACAAGGGGGAGCTGTTGCTTGGTGGTCCACGTATGTCCACGTGAATGTTTACCAAACATCTTTAAGACTTGAGATGGAACTATTCATGGGAATACATTCCCATCTGGAACCCCTCAACGATGGGTTCTCAGGTTCCAACCATCCCAAAGTGGTCATCTGTGGCTTGGCATTTAGGAAGTTACACAAAAAAAACCACTCCAGCCGGAGAAAACGCCCCCCCCTTTGGATCCCTTTGGTTGTTCGCCGTGGTCGCCTGAACTTGGTGAGGTTCGTGACATTCAAATACTTCGGCAGCTTTGGCATTTCGTGGTCCTCATCGCCAAGGCGTGCATGAAAACCGTGATTGCAAATCACCGAGGTTTGCCCTGGTTTTTTTCCTCTGGAGACTGCGAAAAGAGCCACCAAAAAAAAAATATTCGAAATGTCATCAAGCGATCATTTTGATCTTTTTGGTGGTTACTAGTCATGGAGGTTTCTGCAAGTCATGGGGGTCCCCCAAGTCACCATGGGTTTCAATACTATAATACTATAGACTATAAAATGGTCCAATTTTGGATCATCTGGGGTACCCCTATAGAAACGGAAACCCCCATATATCATACACTTGGGTAAACGTTTACATAGCGAACTGGAAAATCACCATCTAAATAACAGCTAAATCAACGAACTAGCCATGTGCAATGTTCAATAGCTATGTAACAAACTACCAAAGGGTAATTCCACATTAACTATAGTAAAAATCTAGGAACGTCTATTCGCCGCTTAGTAGCCACATTCCCAGTCATGGGTGGTTTATGACATTGTTTTGCCCCCATTACTTGGCAGAAAATGGGAAGATCATCATCATTACTATATAACATTACTATAGATACTACCCTATGTATATATATATATATACATATTACCATATATATGTATATACATATATATTACCATATATATATATGTATACCCATATACATATATATATATACACCCATATATGTGTATATACATATAATTATATATATACACCATTATATATCCATATATCATAGATATCCCAAGATTGAACCCTTGACCAGTTCCCCAAGACCCGACGTTTCTCACGTCCCCCCTGAGTGCTGGAGCCGCCGCCATGGGGCTCGTGATCGTCGCCTAGCAAAATCCAGTGGCTTTTCCTCATTTTCCTAGGAAAACATAGAGGAAATCATAGAAATAATAGCAATTTTCCTGGTGATTAATTAGCAGTTTGGGTTTATGATGGGTTTATAATGGTTAATGATAGTTGATGGCTTTCTGATGGCTACATTACTCACCAGGAAAATGAGGAAAACATAGAAATCATAGAAATCAACAAGAAATCATAGCAAAATTCAGTGACGAATTAGCAGTTTGGAGAAATCATAGAAATCATAAAACTATCCCAAGAACTATCCCATGCATCCAAGAACACTTGATGTCATTGAGGTGTTTTGCTGCTTCATTGCGAAGGGGACACTTCGGGATCCCATTTTTCCCTATTTTTCTTGGGTTTTACCACACTTTTACCACAGAAAAATGGAGAACCAGAAAAAACATGAGGATGTTACCCAAAGATGTGGAATTGACCCTAAAAATGATGAAACACATTGGAGCACGCGAAAGAATTGAACGTTGAAGTCACACAACATTACAACTTCCAGCCAAAAATTTAACATGCGATTAAAACTTTACTATTGCAGTCATGTCAAATCTTAGTGGGTTGCAGTCCGGTTGCCATTTTTAGAAACGTGACAACTAGAACCTGAAAAAATTGGAGATATTGACAGGAAGCTCAGGAAACTGTCCATGATTCGCTGTTCGGGTACCCTGCAATAAGAGAAAATTGCCACCATGAACCGCGGTGGATATGGGCTTATCCCCTAAATCCCATGGTTCATCATCATTTTCCCATCAAAATGGTCACAGATTTTTGAGGGATACCCAGTGACGTCTCCATGTCTTGACAAAAATCCATCTTCGCATTGCTTATGGTAACAGAAAGATACCATCAACCCATGCTTACCTGACATTCCTCAGTCTTTTGGTGGTCTTTTTACCCATAAATCCCACAGTGTTTTGATGAAGCCCCCTGACAGCCACGATTTTGGAGTTTATTGATTCATTGTTTCCAATCCCTCAAAAGTCCGTTGATGAAATTCGCAGCAAATATCGAGTTCACCTCATTTTGTTCTCACTCTTATTACTTGATTCTTGTCTGAAAACAATCAATGGGATTATTACTGGTATCCCATTAATAATGGGAATAATGGGATATGAATCACTACTATTAATGGATATAAATGGGATATATCACCCTGAACCCCCAAAAAAAACATAAATTGTGCACTTTTTGCCTTTTGGGTCGTTTTCATAAGAACATGTTTTTCTGCCGCGCATTTTTTCTGCCTCGTTTGGGAAATGTCTGCCTCGTGTTTCCTAAAAAACACAACTGCAAATCTATATAATCACTCCAATCACTAGAACTTTTTCAGTTGCAGCATGTTAATCAAACAAATCACTCTTTGGATGTGCGTGCAAGTCAAATGGTTGGCTTCCAAAACTTCAAGGAATCGACAACTGTTTTCTGACCATTATGGAGCCGAAAGTGGTACAACAGCACTGTGTCACAAAAACACGTCAAGGCAGAAATACCGACGTGCGCCTTTTTGACGGCTTTTGCGCCTTTTTGACGGCTTTTGCGCCTTTTTGATGGGGTTTTGCGCCTTTTTTGCGATACAGTTTGTTCCCCAAAAATGCAGGTTATAACTATAACCCAACGATTTCTGCCTCGACGTGTTGACATCTATAGTTTGCAAAATGGTTCATTGAATCTTATTGATACCTGTTGATAGCTTTAGGGAGCATGGGTTTACTGAGTTTTCCTCACATGATCCCATTTGCCAAAAGATTTGCATCTAGTTCGGCCATTGCATCATGCCAAGTATCTGGAACGGAGACCCCTTGGCGTAAAAAATGCGGTTTGGGCCGTTTTGCCCTTTTGGGTCGTTTTGCGCAGAAAAGGGTCGTTTTGAGCAAAAGATGGTCACTGACCAAAAAGGAAAAAAAAAACGGATTTCGGGTGTCCAGAAAGGTATCCGGTTGGCTATATTATATACAATGTTCTATACAGTATCCGGTTGTATATGTCCCATTGTATCCCCATTTTGGTTGGTAAATCTCCCCATTTCTGTTGGTGACATCCCCCAAAACCATCCAGAACTCAATGGTTTTTTTATTTTTTGTTGGTGGATGTCCACCAAATTCCATCAAATAAAATCATCATCATCATCATCATCATCAGATATATATACAATATGTATATACATACATATATATATATATAATATATATATAATTATATATAATGTGTATATAATTACATATATTTTTGATGAAATCCCTCAAAATATGTTAAAATATGTCAATGCCAAACTGCCAAACATTCTTTTTTTTGAGGAGGTGAAATCTCTTGAAACCGCGCCTGGCCAGACTTCTGCAGCGTTCCGCTGCTG